TCAGAAAATGTATGATTTTAAGTCAAATTACTGAACCAAAGGAAACTTTTACGTATACTATTATTTACTTAAATGTTAAATCTGCATACAAAATATGATTTCGTTGCGCCCCCCGTACTACCCAGCTGAATCCCGAATACCCTCTGTTGGGTTTTAGTAAAAACGACCTCATGTCAGAACGGCCTCAAATCTCAAAAGTAAAAAAGGCCACAACAAAAAATAATAATAATGTGAGTAGGATGTGTACAGATTATACTTTACAGACTGACTGATTTTGGGTTTAACATCGACTTTCACAAGTCTTGTATTTCGTCGACGGGGTAGGTGGGGTTTACTAAATAATAACAAGTTGAGTAAAGATAAACCCCCATACCCCCAAAAATGTAAATTATGGGGGTTAAAGTAGAGAGAAAGGTTTTCCGAGCCACATTTGGGGCACAATGGGATTTTCTTTACATTAGGTGGAGTTGTGTTCGAATGAGTGGCGGTGGTGTCATTAAATGGGGTTTTAAATGGGGTTAACTATATACATTAAGGGCGCCGATGTGATGTGGATTTGAATGTGATGGAGACTGTTTGTGTAGTTGTTCTGCCAGCGATTGGTTGCTTCTTGTTTATTGTTTTGTATTCAATTATTTTGGGTTGTGTAGAGATTTGATTGGCAAGGTGTATGAACCAAGGATCAAGACACACGAATCCCGCTAACAAAACGATGTTGGCAGCCTCAAACATGAACTAGACTATAGACTATAGAGGGACATACTTTGAAGGATCATGCTAAAATATAGCAAAGAGGTATTTGCACGAGTTTCATGAAAAATAACTACTTTTGGAAGGAGGACCCCGTTCGTACACTTGTGTCGACATGAAAACGGATTCGAAGAGTTTGTTTGTTTGTTGTTTAACGCCGCACTCAGCATTATTCCAGCTTTATGACGGCGGTCTGTAAATAATCGAGTCTGGACTAGACAATCCAGCGATTGACATCATGAGCATCGATCCACGCAATTGGGATACGATGACATGCATCAACCAAGTCAGCAAGTCTTACTATCCGATCCCGTTAGTCGCCTCTTACAAGCATAGTCGCCCTTCACGGCAAGCATGGGTTGCTGAAGACCTATTCTACCCTGGATCTTGACGGGATTCGAAGAAGAATGAAAAGACGCAAACTCAACTGAAACGTACTAACCAAACGGGGGCACGGGTGGCACAATTGTCTAAAGCACCTCATGTCGCTGTACAGAGTTCCGCCCCTTGGGCATGCCAGGAACCTATAATCTTGGGTTCGAATCCCGGTTCGCCCTGATTATGTTTCTGGGGTTGTCAGCACCATACCCGTGTTCGTTTGTTTCACAAAAGTGGTACGCGTCTAAGGCATGCTTTATTTCTGGCTTTCCGCCATCATGAAATTTGTTTATTTCAGTTGGAGCACCGATGGTCCAGTCGCCTAGAGCGCAGCAATACGCTATGCACAGCTCCGCCCCTTGGGCTTGCCAAACAACGTATGACCCTGGGTTCGAATCCCGGTACGCCCTGATTATGTTTGTAGGGTTGTCAGCACCATCCCCGTGTTCGTTTGTTTCACAAAAGTAGTACCCGTCTAAGGCATGTATTACTACGGGCTTTCCTCTCACATGAAGCTGACACGCCGTAATATGACTGAATACTGTTGACTAGTTTTGATATGACAGCAGTGGGGTATTTACTAAAGACGGCCCTTAGTGTCAATCTGCAACATCACTATAATGGTCAAAAACTACCAATTCTAATCAATTATCATCATCACTATTATAATAAAGGGTTGTTATGAGATTCCTTTGACGTCAGTGGTCATGATATTGTTGATCTGGAATAAAGAGGTCCACAAAAACACTCTCTAGACTCCCTAGGATAATATTATATTCTGTGTGTTGAGCATGGCCCTCCCCTCCTTGGTGCGGGGTCTTGAGACAGATCTATATATAAGTGGCTGGTCCTCCACCGTTATTGTAGAACATCTGTATATAATTATTTCAATTAAAAAATCACTGGCCACGTGTTTATTCCGTCTAGTCATGATTGTGTCATGTGTCGCTTTATTGCCATCTGTTTCACTGTCAACGTGTTTATTCCGTCTAGTCAGTGATTGTGTCACATGTCGCTTTATTGCAATCTTGTTTCACTGACAATCATTGGCCACGTGTTTATTCCGTCTAGTCATGATTGTGTCACGTGTCGCTTTATTGCCACCCTGCTCCACTGTCAACGTGTTTATTCCGTCTAGTCAATGATTGTGCCACGTGTCGCTTTATTGCCATCCTGTTTCACTGACAATCACGGGCCACGTGTTTATTCCGTCTATTCACGATTGTGTAGACTAACATTAAGTCTCTGAAATCTTATTTTACACAATATCCTTCTTGACTCGAAAAATAAAAAAAAATTCCCTATGCTGATTTCTGATTGTGGAATAGAACTAGCTTGAGCTGGCTAGACTTGCTTTTGTATGCATTTCTAGATTATTATTTTTTCATAAAATAAATATATTCCACGGTCATGGTGCAGGACTAACGATTGTGTCGCGTGTCGCTTTATTGCAATCTTGTTTCATTGACAACCAGGGGCCACGTGTTTATTCAGTCTTGTCAATGATTATGTCAAGTGTCGCTTCATTGCCATCCTGTTTCATTGTCAATCACGGGCCACGTGTTTATTCAGTCTTGTCAATGATTGTGTCGCGTGTCGCTTTATTGCCATCCTGTTTCATTGACAATCACGGGCCACGTGTTTATTCCGTCTATTCACGATTGTGCCACGTGTCGCTTTATTGCAATCCTGTTTCACTGACAATCACGGGCCACGTGTTTATTCCGTCTATTCATGATTGTGGCACGTGTCACGTTATTGCCATCCTGTTTCACTGACAATCACGGGCCACGTGTTTATTCCGTCTATTCACGATTGTGTCGCGTGTCGCTTTATTGCCATCCTGTTTCATTGACAATCACTGCCCACGTGCTTTCCCCCTCTTTTTATGATTGTGCCACGCCTGATTTGAAGTGCACAGACAAAACACAAACTGCTCTCCTCATGAAACCAAATATCACATAAGTAGTGTTTATATCAAAATAACACCTCAACTATCTACAAGGTCCATTGATTGGCACAATAACAATAAAATACATGGCTTCTATTACATGATTCGTTCTACTAAAATACTAGTTACTGGTTGTTTCCGGCCATTGGACCACGTGGCATGGTAACCTGCCGTTAGTTGGACACTACAGTTTATGGTTGAGTGAACAGCAACTCAACTGACTGTTGCCTTGGGCTGAAAATGTGATACTCTAGCTAATGATAAACAAAGGGTATCAACCCGCTTCGTCTAATTTCTGAAATGTTTGCTGGTTAGACGAAGTAGGCATGTGGATCAGTATATGGTCTCTGTGTGGATCAACCCACTTTACTGTGAACAGGGATGCACGAAATTAAAACATAAAGACAAATTTTCTTCATTCATTCATTCATCTGTCTAGCTTATGGCTACTTGAAAAAGAGCCATAAGCATAATACTAAACAAGCATAACTGTGAACAGGGATGCACGAAATTAAAACAAAAAGACAAATTTTATTCATTCATTCGTGTATTTATCTTAGCACTCAAAAAGAGCCACAGCCATAATGGTCTCAACCCATTTTACAGCGAACAGAGATGCACGGGTGCTGACGAATGACTGCTGGAGATGACGTAGATGACAGCCCAGCGCGTGAGCTAATGGTGAATGAGTGAGTGAGTTGGGTTTTACGCCGCTTTTAACAGTATTCCAGTCACATCACGGCGTGTCAGCTTAATGTGGGAGAAAAGCCCGAAGTGATGCAGGTCTCAGACGTTTACCACTTCGATGAAACCCACGAGCACGTGTATGGTGCTGACAAACCTAGAAACATAATCGGGGCGAACCGGGATTTGAACCCACAACCATAGGTTTCTGGCGTGCCGAAGGGACGCAACTCTGCACAGCGAATCGCGGCGCCTTAGACGACTGGGCCACCCGTGCCCCCGTGAGCTAATGGACAGGGTACTTGTTACTGTCTGGTGCGGCGGCATTGCCGGGACGAAACAAGGACTAGTCGGGTCTGAGTGGGGTATCCATGGTATCTCATTGGGCTAGCTGTACAAAACCGGCATAAGTCCGGACAAGTACAAACAGCCACATACAAGGCAAATGCAAATGAATTTTGAACGCGAGGTTGAAACCCCATTTCATCTCACCTCACCTTTATTCTCATAAAGATACTTGTTTCTAACGAGGATAGCCATATTGATATTATAAACAGGTGATCAATGAAACAAACATAAAGGGTGTCTGGTTTGCCATAAAGTGAAAATCCATACTTAGTGATACCGTGTTGTTTTCTGGCATGGCCACAAAGTACTTTTTCTTTCCATGATCATGTACCTGACTTTTTAACAGAAATAACGGCCTATTTGCAAATATTGTGAATAATCATAAATTAATAGCGGCCTGCGTGACCAACGAGAAGACACATTTTCCATTTCATGTTCCGTTTGCCCATTTGTTTCTCCTATTTTAAATCATTCTTAACAGTGCCGCAGGACATAAGACACTGCTTGGAGTGTCTTTCTTTATGCTAAGCGTTAGTGCATTAACTTGTAATCTAACACTGTCTGTAACGAAAGCCATATCTTCAGAGATAAATACAAGACTGGGGCCCTTTTGGGGTTGCTGAAGTTAAAACGTATCTTAGAGTTACTCCCCCTTGGTTCACTCCTGCAGATGAAAACACGAAAGTGAATATATCCGGTTTCAACATGTGTTTAGAAATTTCATAAACGTGTTAGACAGTAATAGTGTGTTTACGGAAATAATCAAATAATTTTATTCGAAACTATGGCGTCGAACGAAGATGTGTTAGATGACGAGAAACGTCCGCAGTTTGGTAACCGATACCTCACCGACCCTAAGAATGTGTTTGAACACAACGCATGGTAAACAGATAAATGAAGTGATTAAAACTAAATCTATATGCAGTTGATATTGCCTCGATCTCTGTTGAGTCGCTGCACACACAAATACAAGCACTATTTTAATTGGCTTGTATCGTTGTATCTTCGTTGATATAATATTGTTCTTTTTGAAAAAAAGTATTATTTTTGATACGTCCTTCCATGATCCACCCACCATATTTTAAGCATCGTACTAACTCGTAGCAAAACAAGTATGCAATGTTATATGGACACGTTGAGTCATTTACAATAAATGAAAAATATGTATGGACTTGCCAGAAGAGTGTATGGTAGCAGAGTGCTGAATAATGCTCTGAAACTTTCCACAAAGCACCGTACATGTGCAAACCACAAACGTAAGATAGGTCCAAATCAGCCTCAACCTGGTAGAAGGGGCAGACCTTTGACAGATGAAAGTCGAGTGTGGGAATTCAATAACTGGTAAATATATAACATATATCACTGTCAGAAAACTATTAGTTTAGATCCCGAAGACATTTTATGAATCTATTGCAGAAATGGGCTGAACATGATTAATTTGAGCAAAAATGTAAGTTACATATTTCAAATGAATAAAAGAGGAACAAAAATAATGTTTTCTTACACTTAGAGGGAACCACAATAAAGAAGTTTGTAGCAAGATATTGAGGTAAAAAATAGTCCTGAAACATGTACATATGATAAAGAAGTTGTTATCCATAATACTCCTTGTCATGATTCCATCTAACTTCTAAATGCATGGAAAGACTCTAATAAAGAAACAGTTCAGAGATTCCCATGACTATAGGGTTCTACATGACCACCAGTTTTATCGTCCCCAGACTAGTGTTATCATGGACATGCTCTGTGTATAGGCTTCAATTGGCAAACTTCTAAGACCTGCATCACTTCAGGCTTTCCACCAGCTGACACGCCATGATATAACTGAAATGGAGTTCAGAGCAGTATTAAAACAAACTCCCTCACTCATCACCATCACATACGTGTTCAGTAATACATTCTGACCTGATTATTCTGGATTGGTACATTTAGGTTATCACAGTGATCATTTCTTCTTCATATGAAACAAAATATTTAGCATCCATTTACAAGATCAAACACTGATAACAGTTGGAAAGACCATGTGAAAATGGATGTAAAAATGTATCTAGGGCTATTGCAGCAAATTGAACTGTGTGTTGAGCTGACCTTTGGAGTGTGATGATGGCTACTTATTAAAACTCATGCTGATTGCTGTCTTAATTGATTGATTAGGTGTTTATCAAATAGTGCTGTATTTTAATTTGCCATCAATAACTACCAATACTTGTTAAGATTAATCAGTTGCATTGATGATCAGTTTGTTTAAGTTTCAAAGGAATTGGTAATATAATCTGTGATCGATTCTTTTCTAATTATGTTTGTTCCATTTTATGATCTGTATAGGGTCATAAAATTTAGTGTTGTTCTTGTGTAAAAAACATGAGATAACAAATAGTTTCAAGGCCTGTTGCTATGGCAATGTTGCCCATGTTGCCTAGTGTTATTATGTTTATTGATGAAGGGCATTAGGAAAGTTTCTCTATACATGATATATATATATATATGATTTTTCCATTATATTTTTTATTTTTATTTAAAAAAACAATGATTCATCTTTTAACCAATTCCCATCATTACAAATAACAGTAGGATAAAGTGAAGAACCAGGCTGTTAGCAATGGTTAGTGAAACAGGTCTGTCTGCTTCTCTGTGACAGGGACAATGTTGTATGGGACTCTAGTCAGGAGGAAGAGGCAAGGAGGAAGACTCAGCAACAGCTGGCAGAAGCTCTCCCACAGGAGACCACAGGTATGTCCAGGTGACAGACGATCTCCCACAGGTATTTCCAGGTGACAAAAGCTCTCCCACAGGTATGTCCAGGTGACAGACGCTCTCCCACAGGAGACCACAGGTATGTCCAGGTGACAGAGACACTCCCACAGGTATGTCCAGGTGACAGACGCTCTTCCACAGGAGACCACAGGTATGTACAGGTGACAGACACTCTCCCACAGGTATGTCCAGGTGACAGACGCTCTCCCACAGGAGACCACAGGTATGTCCAGGTGACAGACACTCTCCCACAGGTATGTACAGGTGACAGAAGCTCTCCCACAAATAGACCATTGGTATGTACAGGTAAGTACAAGTGCTGACAAATTGATATTTTTTAAGGAATTGCTTCACATATTGTGGCATATCATATTGCAACACATAAAAACTACTGTGTATTCACTGAAATAAAGTGCCGGAATGTTTGTTTCAGAAATGTATGAAGAGAAGGCAGATCATTTCTGGGATGAATTCTACAACATTCACACCAACAGGTTCTTCAAGGATCGTCATTGGCTGTTTGTTGAGTTCCCAGAGTTAGACTCAACCAATGAAAAACCAGAATCCAAGACAGCAGGAAACATGGACGCAAGGGATTATGGGAAGACTGACTGCTCGGATGTTGCCCAGGGAGTTGAGAATATCTCCCTGACACCGACTGAGCATCAAGCAGATACTGACAAGGAAGAAGTGTATCCTGGAGAAAATGCGGATTTCAGAATATTTGAGGTAAATTCAGTTTTGTTTGCATTGGTGTTTGTTTGTTTGTTTGTTTAACGCCACACTCAGAAATATTCCAGCTATGTGACAGCGGTCTGTAAATAATTGGTTCTGGACCAGACAATCCAGTGATTGACATCATTAACGTCGAACTTGTAATTGGGATACGATGACATGCATCAACCAAGTCAGCGAGCCTGACCACCCGATCCCGTTAGTCGCCTCTTACAACAAGCATAGTCGCCTTTTACGGCAAGCATGGGTTGCTGAAGACCTATTCTACCCCGGATCTTCACAGATTGTATCGGTGTAGGGTAAGGATGATTGAGGGTGAGTGTGCTGACAGACCTAGGATCATAATCAATGTTGATGTGGTGTAGTCTGCCCAGAAGGTCTGTGGTTAGATCTCCTGGTCACATCTACCAAAAGACTTTAAAAATGGAACTTGTTGTTACCTTGCCTCATAGTCAGTAATGCGCTGAGTGGGGTGTCTGTGTTAACTGCGGCATGGTGTGTCAGTGTGCTATAAAACTGGCATTAGTCCGGACTAATACAAACAGCCACACACACACATGAATGCCTGTCACTATGTAAGTGCAATGATCTTTACTATGTACGGTGAGAGTGAGTAAGGGTTGTGGTGCTGACAGGATTCAAACCAGCAGATTCTTGCACAGCTAAGGGACACAACTCTAGAACTCCTTAGACCACTGGGCCCCACTGCACCCTGTATAGAACAAAATTAATTGTAAGAATAGGTAAATGATACACTCTCAAAATATCACAACTCATGATACTTATTTGTGTGTAGATCTGACAATCTCTCTGTAGGATGTTGCGTCAAGTGGAGCAGAACAATATTTGACTGCCCATTCTATATGAAGGATGCATGTGTTCTTGAGCCAATAAGAATTGTCAATTTCCTGTTTGGTTTCATGTGTTTACCACCTCAATTTTCCATACACCAAAATCATGATCGAAAACTTTATTTACAAGGCATTTTGGTGGCAAAACTCTGAGTCTTCTATTTCAAGCCCAAACTGATTTGTTTGTGGGCACAGGTGACCCAGCTTTCTAAGGTGCCGCAGTTCACTGTGCAGAGTTGTCTCCCTTGAGCATACCCGAAAGCTATGAACATGGGTTCAAATCCCAGATTAGCCCTGATTGTTTCTTGGTTTGAATGTTAGCACCATACCCCTGCTCATGGGTTTTGCTGAAATGGTTCATGTCTAAGACTTCAGGCTCCACATAAAGCTGAGATTAGTTATAACTATTTTTACATGGAACAGGATCTGTTTTGTTCCCATTAGGATGTTGTTACTCAAATATGCTGCAGACTTCGGGCTGAATATTGACCTCTGTGCAGGTATGGATCAATTCCTGTGAAGATCTTTGTTGTTAACCCTGTTGTTTGGTTCCAGGTTGGGTGTGGCGTGGGCAACACGGTCTTCCCCGTCCTGCAGACAAACAAGTAGGTCATTGTCAGCCCACCTGGCCACACTAGGGGGGAGGGATACAGCAAGGCCACACGATACCATATGTATCACGATGCGTACAAGGGGCGTTCAATAAGTTTTGCAACTTCAATATAAGACCAGGTCGCAGAATATCTTTTGCACTTATATTTTTCAATATAATCTCCATTCACCTCAATACACTTATTCCATTTGTCCTTCAAGCTTTTAATACCACTTTTATAGAAATCTGCAGATTGGCCCTCTAACCACACCTCTGTGTAACCACACCTTTATGTCCTCGTCATCCTGGAAGCGTCTTCCACGTAGGGCAGATTTCATTTGGCGGAACAGGAAATAGTCAATTGGGGCTAAGTCTGGGCTGTAGGGTGGGTGATTTAACTGTACAGCCCAGATGTAGCCCCCAGTGATCATTTCCTGTTCCGGCAAATGAAATCTGACTGTGAAAGTTCAGTTTCCACCCTTGCCGAACTAGGCTGGAGTTACATTTTGGCTGGTCTTATGAGTCTATGCATATAGTGCAGTCAAAATTTTGTGACAAACTAGACATCCAGTTCACAGACAAAATGGATTTCAGTGTGCAAATTTCTAGTGGTGTAATGATACATCGAACTATCGATTGATTGCGATTGCTTGTCTCACGATAGTACACTATCGATTGCAACTTGAAACAATCGATACTATTGGCGATAGTTTGTCTAACTATCGATAGTTTCGATAGTTAATTTATTTGGTACATTTACTTTCTTAAAAAACATAGAAACAACTCCTATGATCATCTAACCTCTTGCTTTCGTTTGGATTGCACTACTTTGTCTGCTTGATTTAGAATTACGTCCCTTAGCTACTCGTCGCTAGGCAACATTGACAAGATGGCGGACGCCACATGTCAGTTTTTGTCACGCTTTGTGCAGACAGTTTTAAAATACTCATGTAACGCCAGGGCTGACAGGTTTCTTGTCTGTGTTTGCAGTGACATAACATTGTTGATTATCAAAATCTGAAATGGAATTGGAATCATCAATTTGAGCAAATGAGTTAAAGTGAGGTAAAGTATTGGGCATCTGAGAAGATCTCTGTGCAGAGGTTATAGGTACCCCAGTGGTCTTATTCATGTCAATTTGTTGTGCAGAGTTGCTTCCCTTAGTTGCATCAGGATCTGCTGAACATTTTCTTGCATCCAAGATTTGCCCTGATTTATTACCTGTAGTCATTCGTTTTACTATTATAAATGTTACTGATGTCTTTGGGCTGTCTCATTCTGTGTGTTTATGTAAAAGTGTGTTCTCTCGTGTGATGATACATCAACACTGATGCAGGCCATCAATACATAGAGATGCTTTTCTTTCAGTGACCCTAAGCTGATGGTGTATTGCTGCGATTTCTCTTCCACTGCAATTCAGATTGTTAAGGTCAGTTGTTATTTGTAGCATCCATGAGGCAAGATGCTCTTATCCCCGCCATGTCATCCATCTTTCTGTACATCCGTCCACTTCTCAAAGGGGACAAATTTTCTCAAAAACTATTTAAATCGGAGAAATGAACTTTTACACACTGATCTTACTGGTCATGTTCTCAAATGAGTTTGGGACAGGTTTTCTCAGAAACTACTGAATTTACACAAGTGGAAATTTGCATGCTTATCTAAGAGATACTTGTCAAGACTGAATTCGAAATTTGGTCCCCTTTAGTCTTTTTGCAGAGTTACTTCCCTTGATCCATGTTATTTTACTTGGTGCATAGTGTGTGCAATGGGGACAAGTTTTCTCAGAAACTACTAAAGTTAGCTTATCTAAGAGATACTAATCCAGACTGAGTTATTTTTTCCAGAGAAGGGGGCCTTTGTGTGTATTAATTTCACATCTAATCATTTTTTCTGATGACATAAAGGGGCCCAAGTGCCTATCTCTTCTTAAGGCTTTATAGGACTCTTTTTCATAGTTTATATTCACTACTAGATGAACAAACAAAATTCTAATGTGCCTCATGGCAGGGGATAGTGATGATGCTGTTTTCTTGTTGAAAATGGTTCATGGATTCCAGAGACCCTGAAACTGTATGAAAGTGGTAAAATAAATGAACGTTTTGGGTAATGTGTTTTGGGATCGAAGTTCAGAAGGAAACTGCAATGTGTAGTGTCAGGATAAGTATACTAATACATGTATCCTCAATATTCAAAATCATGTAGGTTAAAGGAGGAAACAAATTAATCAGAAATGATTTTTTTTATTAAAACTGACAATTTCTGTCGTCATGACAACTAAGTGTATGATTGATGTCCAACTCTAGGAACACACAGACTGTGATCCACGTCGCTGTACTGCCTTCGTCTGTGACATCAGTGACACCAGCGCTGTACTCCCGATGCCAGACAACAGCCTTGACCTTATCATCATGATCTTTGTCCTGTCGGCCATCAACCCCCAGAAGTGAGTAAGCGTGGGGTTAGATGTTTGTTTATTTGTTTTGTTTCTTTGTTGTTTAACACCGCACACAGCAGTATTCCAGCTACATGATGGTGATATGTGAATAATCGAGTCTGGAGCAGACAATCCAGTGATTGACATCATGAGCATCAATCTATGCAATTGGAATACACTGACATGCATCAACCAAGTCACCGAACCTGACCACCCGATCCCTTTGGTCGCCTCTTAATAGACTTATGACAAGCATAGTCAACTTTTACGGCAAGCTGAAGACATATTCTACCTTGGACATTGTACATGTCAGTCAAGAAATGATTTTGTACATTTTATAAATTTTTTGTGGACAGACTTCATTGCTGTGAAGTGTTGTGATTGGTCAACTGGTGATGTCTCCTATTTTCATGCGAGGCGGTCGGGTAGCCTAGTGGTTAAAGCGTTCGCTCGTCCCGCCGAAGACCCGGGTTCGATTCCCGACATGGGTACAATATGTGAAGCCCATTTCTGGTGTCCCCCGCCGTGATATTGCTGGGATATTGCTAAAAGCGGCGTAAAACCATACTCACTCACTCACTCACTCACTCCTATTTCATGCACTGACAGGGTAACATGGTCCAGTGGAACATTACAATGTACACCTGAATGTTCTGTCACAGTATGCATTGACTCCTGGATGCCTGTGCATCCTTAGTTCTCGCTACTGCTTAATAAACATCTGAGGGTATCCCATTATGGGTCACGTCAGACTGACCTTTCACAAACTTTGACCGACCAATGGAATGACTGACAAGAAGTCGACATCAGCCCATTAGAAGGCAGCTTTCTCGTGATTTGCGGCTCTAGTTTCAAACTGGCGACTATGCTTCGTAACAGATTTTGACAAATTCTTGATTACAAATTTGAAAACTGAACAAAAGAACATTCTGGAATGGTTAATAGATGTCCTAGTTTGTATGGATTCAGTCATGAAGCCCGTAGCTGTCGTTCGGATTCCCCGTGTTAAATTGTTCGAGGTTATAGGGTTGGAAAACACATTCCGACTCTCACTTTCTTGATCTAGTAAGCAACACTCTAATTGGTCGGATGAAAGGTCGTTCTGACATGACCTTAATGGGATGTCCTTTGATCTTTGTTTTGCAGTAGCGATGACTAAGATTGGATTTCAGTGAGATTGGCAATGAAGATAGTTAGAGTTGTCTCCCTTTATAGATTAGTCCTCTACTCAATGGATGTTCATGTTTCTGGTAGCATATGTACGGAGGCATTGTTTCCGTTTCAGTAGAACGTTTTGTTTCTGAATATTAATCTTTACAAGGATAATTATAAGATGAGCTTGCTGTTTGCTTGATAGACTTAATCATATTGGATGGACCCACTTGTCAAGATGTTCAAATATTCATGGCATATTTAATATGTGAAGGGGACTGTTTCCACCGTAAACATGGTGTCCAATAGACAGTGTGTAGTAGACTGTAGACCAGTAGACTTCTTTGGGAGCTGGTAAACGCATTCACACATTCAAAGTTTTCCGCTATGGAATAAGAGTAGTGACCATCACAACACTAAACTGTAAATCTTGTCTTCTTGTTGATAGTCATTTTGGAGACATAAACGCGAAGTTACATAAATGCGAACAAAGACCACTCACATTTTTCGCATGAAATCATGCTCGCGTTAATTTAAAGATTGACAGTGTTTGTTTGCTGCCAACATTGCCACAGCTGGCCAGGGGATTCTGTTTGAGAATCTTTTAATCAAAGGTTTGAATTTCATCTTTTTGAACATTTAAAGAAATTGTTGATATTTTCCCCCAGAATGCAGTTTGTGATTGATCGGTTGTCCCGCCTCCTGAAGCCGGGGGGGCAGATATTGTTCCGAGACTATGGCCGCTATGACATGGCGCAGCTGCGATTCAAGAAAGGTACACTTCTTGTCTTTCTTAACAACATAATACTTCGTGTCAACTTTTTGTTTGTTTTAAGGCAGTTATTTACAGTAGTGTCATTTTCCCGAGGCAAGGGAGTTAACTGACTGTAAAAGTCAAGCTTCCCCCCTCACTGAACTTGGCTGAAATTATGGAGTTATATTTTCGCTGGGACATAGAAGGGACATAGAAGGTGTAATAGCCACTGATGGCGTTACAATTGAGCCATGAAATTCCAGCCTACTTAGGCAAGGGTGGAAACTGGACTTTTACAGTCATTCAACTCCCTTGCCTCGGGGATTTGCAGTCGTGTACACAGCTGACACTATCATGTAGTTGGTTGTTTGGTTGATTTGTTGTTTAACGCCACACTCAGCAATATTCCATCTATATGACGGCGGTCTGCAAAATAATTAAGTCTGGACCAGACAATCCAGTGATTGACATCATGAGCATCAATCCACAGAGTTTGGATCGATGACATCCATCAACCAAGTCAGCGAGCCTGACCACCCAATCCCATTAGTCGCCTCTTACGACAAGCATAGTTGCCTTTAAGGGCAAGCATGGGTTGCTGAAGACCTATTCTACCCAGGATCTTTACAGGTTCGCCCTGATTATGTTTCTAGGTTTGTCAGCACCATACCCGTGCTCGTGGGTTTCACTGAAGTGGTAAGCGTCTGAGACCTGCATCACTTCGGGCATTCCTCCCACAATAAGCTGACACGCCATGATATAACTGGAATACATTCCTAACTTACTCACTCACTCTATCACAGATCAGACAGGAGAAAAGTGTTTGATTCACACGCTCACTCAAATAGCTGTAAGTTATTAATCAACTGTTCAACTGATGTGTTTGCACTGGTCAAAAGGTCAGTCTGTTGCAGGTTCATCGTAGATGACACGTTGTGTTTGTGTTTCAGGTCAATGCCTGACATGTTGTGCTGGTGTTTCAGGTCAATGCCTGACATGTTGTGCTGGTGTTTCAGGTCGATGCCTGACATGTTGTGCTGGTGTTTCAGGTCAATGCCTGACATGTTGTGCTGGTGTTTCAGGTCGATGACTGACATGTTGTGCTGGTGTTTCAGGTCGATGCCTGACACGTTGTGCTGGTGTTTCAGGTCAATGCCTGACATGTTGTGCTGGTGTTTCCAGTCGATGCCTGACATGTTGTGCTGGTGTTTCAGGTCGATGCCTGACATGTTGTGCTGTTGTTTAAGGTCGATGCCTGACATGTTGTGCTGGTGTTTCAGGTCGATGCCTGACACGTTGTGTTGGTGTTTCAGGTCAATGCCTGACATGTTGTGTTGATGTTTCAGGTCAATGCCTGACATGTTTTTCTGGTATTTCAGGTCGATGTCTGTCGGAGAACTTCTACGTGAGAGGAGACGGAACACGCGTCTATTTTTTCACCCAAGGTGAGAACCAACACTTGATATTCATACAGTATACACTGTTTTCAAGACAATAAGTGTACGAGGAGGACATGGCAAATACCGACAAAGATGCTGTTGATGAGAAAAATACAAAGCCCCATTCAACAAAGTGATCTTAGAACTATGATTGTAAGTATGGAAGTGGACTAGCAATGTCCATGAGTTATCTGTGAAGTTAAATATAAATAATTCTATATGGGAACACTCAATTACGGCTGTCGTAAGTCGTGTTATTGTGTGTGAGTTACGATCATCTTAGTCCTACGGCTGTCGTAAGTCGTGTTATTGTATGCGAGTTATGATCATCTTAGTCCTACGGCTGTCGTAAGTCATGTTATTGTATGCAAGTTATGATCATCTTAGTCCTACGGCTGTCATAAGCCTGTGTTATTGTATGCAAGTTATGATCATCTTAGTCCTACGGCTGTCGTAAGTCGTGTTATTGTATGCGAGTTATGATCATCTTAGTCCTACGGCTGTCGTAAGTCATGTTATTGTATGCAAGTTATGATCATCTTAGTCCTACGGCTGTCATAAGCCTGTGTTATTGTATGCAAGTTATGATCATCTTAGTCCTACGGCTGTCGTAAGTCGTGTTATTGTATGCGAGTTATGATCATCTTAGTCCTACGGCTGTCGTAAGTCATGTTATTGTATGCAAGTTATGATCATCTTAGTCCTACGGCTGTCATAAGCCTGTGTTATTGTATGCAAGTTATGATCATCTTAGTCCTACGGCTGTCGTAAGTCGTGTTATTGTATGCGAGTTATGATCATCTTAGTCCTACGGCTGTCGTAAGTCATGTTATTGTATGCAAGTTATGATCATCTTAGTCCTACGGCTGTCATAAGCCTGTGTTATTGTATGCAAGTTATGATCATCTTAGTCCTACGGCTGTCATAAGCCTGTGTTATTGTGTGTGAGTTATGATCATCTTAGTCCTACGGCTGTCGTAAGTCGTGTTATTGTATGCAAGTTATGATCATCTTAGTCCTACGGCTGTCATAAGCCTGTGTTATTGTATGCAAGTTATGATCATCTTAGTCCTACGGCTGTCGTAAGTCATGTTATTGTATGCAAGTTATGATCATCTTAGTCCTACGGCTGTCATAAGCCTGTGTTATTGTATGCAAGTTATGATCATCTTAGTCCTACGGCTGTCATAAGCCTGTGTTATTGTGTGTGAGTTATGATCATCTTAGTCCTACGGCTGTCGTAAGTCATGTTATTGTATGCAAGTTATGATCATCTTAGTCCTACGGCTGTCATAAGCCTGTGTTATTGTATGCAAGTTATGATCATCTTAGTCCTACGGCTGTCGTAAGTCGTGTTATTGTATGCGAGTTATGATCATCTTAGTCCTACGGCTGTCGTAAGTCATGTTATTGTATGCAAGTTATGATCATCTTAGTCCTACGGCTGTCATAAGCCTGTGTTATTGTATGCAAGTTATGATCATCTTAGTCCTACGGCTGTCGTAAGTCGTGTTATTGTATGCGAGTTATGATCATCTTAGTCCTACGGCTGTCGTAAGTCATGTTATTGTATGCAAGTTATGATCATCTTAGTCCTACGGCTGTCATAAGCCTGTGTTATTGTATGCAAGTTATGATCATCTTAGTCCTACGGCTGTCGTAAGTCGTGTTATTGTATGCGAGTTATGATCATCTTAGTCCTACGGCTGTCGTAAGTCATGTTATTGTATGCAAGTTATGATCATCTTAGTCCTACGGCTGTCATAAGCCTGTGTTATTGTATGCAAGTTATGATCATCTTAGTCCTACGGCTGTCGTAAGTCGTGTTATTGTATGCGAGTTATGATCATCTTAGTCCTACGGCTGTCGTAAGTCATGTTATTGTATGCAAGTTATGATCATCTTAGTCCTACGGCTGTCATAAGCCTGTGTTATTGTATGCAAGTTATGATCATCTTAGTCCTACGGCTGTCATAAGCCTGTGTTATTGTATGCGAGTTATGATCATCTTAGTCCTACGGCTGTCGTAAGTCATGTTATTGTATGCAAGTTATGATCATCTTAGTCCTACGGCTGTCATAAGCCTGTGTTATTGTATGCGAGTTATGATCATCTTAGTCCTACGGCTGTCGTAAGTCATGTTATTGTATGCAAGTTATGATCATCTTAGTCCTACGGCTGTCATAAGCCTGTGTTATTGTATGCAAGTTAAGATCATCTTAGTCCTACGGCTTTCGTAAGTCGTGTTATTGTATGCGAGTTATGATCATCTTAGTCCTACGGCTGTCGTAAGTCATGTTATTGTATGCAAGTTATGATCATCTTAGTCCTACGGCTGTCATAAGCCTGTGTTATTGTATGCAAGTTATGATCATCTTAGTCCTACGGCTGTCATAAGCCTGTGTTATTGTATGCGAGTTATGATCATCTTAGTCCTACGGCTGTCGTAAGTCGTGTTATTGTATGCGAGTTATGATCATCTTAGTCCTACGGCTGTCGTAAGTCATGTTATTGTATGCAAGTTATGATCATCTTAGTCCTACGGCTGTCATAAGCCTGTGTTATTGTATGCGAGTTATGATCATCTTAGTCCTACGGCTGTCGTAAGTCGTGTTATTGTATGCGAGTTATGATCATCTTAGTCCTACGGCTGTCGTAAGTCGTGTTATTGTATGCGAGTTATGATCATCTTAGCCCTTCGGCTGTCGGAAGTTGTGTTATAGTGTAGGAGTTACAATCATCTTAGCCCGAAGACTGTCATAAGCCTGTCTTATAGTATGGAGTTACGATCATCTTAGCCCCACGGCTGTCATAAGCCTGTGTTATTGTGTGTGAGTTACAATCATCTTAACCCCACGGCTGTCATGAGCCTATGTTATTGTGTGTGAGTTATGATCATCTTAGTCCTACGGCTGTCGTAAGTCATGTTATTGTATGCAAGTTATGATCATCTTAGTCCTACGGCTGTCATAAGCCTGTGTTATTGTATGCAAGTTAAGATCATCTTAGTCCTACGGCTGTCGTAAGTCGTGTTATTGTATGCGAGTTATGATCATCTTAGTCCTACGGCTGTCGTAAGTCATGTTATTGTATGCAAGTTATGATCATCTTAGTCATACGGCTGTCATAAGCCTGTGTTATTGTATGCAAGTTATGATCATCTTAGTCCTACGGCTGTCATAAGCCTGTGTTATTGTATGCGAGTTATGATCATCTTAGTCCTACGGCTGTCGTAAGTCGTGTTATTGTATGCGAGTTATGATCATCTTAGTCCTACGGCTGTCGTAAGTCATGTTATTGTATGCAAGTTATGATCATCTTAGTCCTACGGCTGTCATAAGCCTGTGTTATTGTATGCAAGTTATGATCATCTTAGTCCTACGGCTGTCGTAAGTCGTGTTATTGTATGCGAGTTATGATCATCTTAGCCCTTCGGCTGTCGGAAGTTGTGTTATAGTGTAGGAGTTACAATCATCTTAGCCCGAAGACTGTCATAAGCCTGTCTTATAGTATGGAGTTACGATCATCTTAGCCCCACGGCTGTCATAAGCCTGTGTTATTGTGTGTGAGTTACAATCATCTTAACCCCACGGCTGTCATGAGCCTATGTTATTGTGTGTGAGTTACGATCATCTTAGCCCTACGGCTCTCATAAGCCTGTGCTATTGTGTTGGAGTTACAATAATCTTAGCCTGATGACTGTCATAAGTCTGTGTTATTGTAAGGGAGTTACGATCATCTTAGCCCTACAACTGTCATAAAAGTCTGACCCGTTTGAGACAAGAACTAGACAAACAAATAACTTCTTTGATATATCCTTAATTCAAGGATAGTGTGAAGTATTAAATTAGGTTCCACTATTTTCCACTTGCAGAGGAGCTTCGTGACATGTTCTCCAAGTGTGGCTTGGTGGAGAAACAGAACCTGATTGACCGCCGGCTCCAGGTGAACCGAGGCAAGCAACTGAAGATGTACCGGGTGTGGATACAGTGTAAATACCAGAAACCTGCACCGGCTGCCTGCACGACCCAGGAGTCGACTGAGGAGGTGGGAGATGAGAGCCACCACGACAGGGCACAGTGTCCGGTAGACAATGAATCAGGAACAAGTTCTTGATGACCTTGTGTTGGGGCCAGGTGTTGGGAGATGAGATGCCCCAGCACTGCATGGAGATGCCCCTTGATAGAGCACAGTGTCCGGTAGACAATGAATCGGGAACAAGTTGTTGATGACCTTGTGTTGGGGCCAGGTGTTGGGAAATGAGATGCCCCAGCACTGCTTGGAGACACCCCTTGATAGAGCACAGTGTCCGGTAGACAATGAATCAGGAACAAGTTCTTGATGACCTTGTGTTGGGGCCAAGTGTTGGGAAATGAGATGCTCCAGCACTGTATGGAGACGCCCCTTGACAGGGCACAGTGTGCGGTAGACAATGAATCGGGAACAAGTTCTTGATGACCATGTGTTGGGGCCAGGTGTTGGGAGATGAGACCCCAGTGCTGCATGGAGATGCCCCTTGACAGAGCACAGTGTCCGGTAGACAATGAATCGGGAACAAGTTCTTGATGACCTTGTGTTGGGGCCAGGTGTTGGGAGATGAGATGCCCCAGCACTGCATAGAGACACCCCTTGACAGAGCACAGTCTCCGGTAGACAATGAATCGGGAACAAGTTCTTGATGACCTTGTGTTGGGGCCAGGTGTTGGGAGATGAGACCCAAGCACTGTATGGAGACGCCCCTTGACAGAGCACAGTGTCCGGTTGACAATGAATTGGGAACAAGTTCTTGATGAACTTGTTTTGGGGCCAGGTGTTGGGAGATGAGACGCCCCAGCACTGCATGGAGACACCCCCTTGACAGCTCTCTCTCCGGAAGACAAGAAATCGGGAACAATTTCTTGATGACCTTCTGTTTGGGCCAGGTGTTTGGAGATGAGACGCGTCACAACTGTATAAGAGACACCCCTTGATAGGGCACAGCGTCCTGTAGACAATGAATCGGGGACAAGTTCTTGATGACCTTGTGTTGGGGGCCAGGTGTCAGAGATGCGACACCAGCACTGCATGGAGACGCCCCTGACAGAGCACATTGTCCTATGAATCAGGGACAAGTGACCTTGTGTGGGAGGTTAGGACAGTCTGATGGCTGGTTCTGATTTCAGAAATCTGAACAATTAGGGTATTTGTGTGGATGGCAGTTTTACCCTTGTTTCAGATTTATTTCAGAAGTATTGTTCTGTAAGAAAGCTGGAACAGTAAGTTGTGGAACTGTCCAGACAGAGGGTGATGCTATGATACTGAACTGTTACACAATATAGATAAAAAGTAAATCAGATACCAAGTGGTCGAAATTGAAATGTTTTTCTGTTTTTACTAGTCCATCACCAACAGACCTGACGGATGAAACAAAAAGTTATGTCCCAGACTTGCCCCAATTATGATCTGTGGCATGTCACAGATGCTCATGGGATCAGTTGCTTACAGTGTGTGTCGTCCTTCCCCAAGGGCTTCTCATGCTATCACTCACTGGTCATCTTCCCGAGGCAAGGGAGTTAACTGACTATAAAAGACCAGTTCCCACCCATGCCAAACTAGGGTGGAATTCAAGAGTTACATTTTGGTTGGACTAACCGGTCTATGCATAATCAAATCAAAATCGCGTAACGAAATAGACATCCGGTTTGAAAACAACACCGATTGTTCAGATTTAGGTCGATTGCAGGATTTGCAAAGCATGTTTACCTTCGCCTTTTACGGCAAGCATGGGTTGCTGAAGACCTATTCTACCCCGGATCTTCACGGGTGTTATCAGAGATGACTAACCTTCAAGTTGGTTCTATGAAAAAGAAACACATCCAGCATATGTAAAAAATCATTTATTACAAGATGAGTATATGCCAAGTTTAGTTACACAGCCCTGAGGCTCTTGAAAGACATTTGGAGTTTGTTTCTGGATCATTTCATGTGGGATGTCACCTCTGGACAGGATCTGTGTGTCTTGTGACCACCAGGTGTCTTGCGACTTCTCTGAACACCCCTGCAACATAAAGACAACCATAACATACTTAAGTCATTTGAAAAATTCATTTCAGTTTTAAACGTCCTTGCAAGCATTATTGCCATGGACTTCTGGCTGAGAAGTAGTTTGTTCAGGAAGAAGGGGGCGTCAGTACTGTGTGCGTGCGTGCGTGCGTGCGCGCTTTGTTCCTCCATGACTGCTTAAAACATACAGCTACTATGCCATCTTGTCCACACATTGCTTCATTATTATGCCTCAAAGTGAGATTGACCAATGAGAGAGCTGGGTCCACGTGCACAAAGCGATCTTAGTGCTGAGACTATCGTATGCCTATGTTAAAGTATGGGAGTTACCATTACCTTAGCGCTAAGATCGCTTTGTACAAGTGGGCCCAGAACTACTCACCCAAAATGAGCCCGTATGGTCAGTAAAAATTCAAGATGGTTGATACTGAGCTAATATGAGACTGCATACTGTCAGTAACAGCAATTTTGGATTTTCCAAATCCACAATATTTTTCTGCTTACCTAATATGTCGCCTATACGGCAACTAAAGACACCATCACTAATAATATCAGGCAATGGTAGGTTCGCGCAAACTTCATGCACATAGTGGGGCACATTTGAGGATATATATTCGACTATATCTCATTGTCAAAATAAGTGGAGAAGGAATGGACAAAAACAGGTATGAGCGGAGATGTTTTAAATACAGATGAGAGGGACTTCAGTGAATCGTCCATGGAAACGTCGTCTCATTCTTCCCTTGGTTTCGGAGAAGCCGCTTTGGGACATCTTTAGGAGTTATATTGATTAACGCGCTCTTATTGCCAGGAACAGGTAAGCATCTTTACAATCCACCGACGGGGCAAGGATTACCCAACAGAGGTGCCTGAAACCCATACCATCCCAAAACAACCAGCTCTCACACGCGAGTAAATTGTCAGTTTCCTCCTAACTGCAACCAATCGACACCTCTACGACTTCTCCATTCTACTCTGCTGGAATATTGCTGAATGCGGCGTTAAACAACAAACAAACAATATACGGTACACTGGTGACATGCAGGAGGAAACAACATCCCACCCACTCCTACCTCGGGTCCCCCCCCCCCCCCCCCCCCCCCCCCACACACACAAACACACACTGAAAACGGCGAAATCCCCCAAAGTCCATAATGAAGAAGGCTGAAGGGATTTTTCAAGAGTTATTTTCTTAAATCAACAGAAATCTAAACCACTTTTTCCATAAAAAAAATACCCGCTAACAATGGCAATCGTAAATCACAGAAAAACTAATCCTTTGGCCCAGGTGGGACTTTTTCAAATTTCCTTACATTTCTGTGTGGGCTTTGGTTTCTCTGTCGTGTTTTTTTGCTGCTTTCTTCGACTTTTTAGACCTGTTCTTTTTGCCGAATTTCTTCCCTCTGTAGGGGCTGAGGGACCTGGAAAGAAGACAGTTACAGGTTATGGCAGCCCGCTACAAATACAACCAATCTGAAAACTAACTCTTTCTAAAGGAATCCGAAGATCCGGGGTAGAATAAGTCTTCAGCAACCCATGCTTGCCGTAAAAGGCGACTATGCTTGTCGCAAGGGGCGACTAAAGGGATCGGGTAGTCATGCTCGCTGACTTGGTTGATGCATGTCATCGTATCCCAATTGAGTGGATCGATGCTCATGATGTCGATCACTGGATTGTCTGGTCCAGACTCGATTATTTACAGACCGCCGTCATATAGCTGAAATATTGCTGAGTGCGGCGTTAAACAACAAATAAACAAACGCACATCAATGTGGTATGGTTTCTTCTTGATCAAATGTGTAGGAAGGGTGTTTCATAATAAAAACAATGTAATAACATATTCCTATGCTTTGTTACTCTCATAATTGTATTTTCGCACATGGAGTCGACTTGTACGAAGACGAAGCCATCTGAGAAGGGCGTTCATGTTTCATGAGGAATCAAACCCGTACCAAAATCAAGCTAAGCACCTTAATCCCGATTTCGTTTTTAGGTTTGTCAGCACCATACCCGTGCTTGTGGGTTTCACCAATTAGGGGGTAAACATCTGAGACCTGAATGCATCACCTCGGGCTTTCATCTCACAACACTCGGCAGGATCTTTTTTTGCAAATCGTCTGAATAATCGCAGTTTAATATTACAACATCAGATAGGAAATATAATAGTCTACATCTTTGCGTAACTTTATAGTCGGAGTAAGATCCGGTGCCGCGCGAGCGCAATTCTCGCACAATCTTCACTTTTCAGAGCTTTGGAAAATGTGCGTCTGAAACAACTCTACATCATGCGGATTAAACTGACACGCTGTGATATGGCGGAATACTGTCCAAATCGGCGTTAACCCAAACTCACCAACTCACCAACTTTTCTTCCTTCGCTGTCTCAACGTTTCGGACACATAAGAACGGCTTTGTTTTTGTTTGTGTCTGTTTGTTTGTTTGTTTGTTTGTTTAACGTCGCACTCAGCAATATTCCAGTTATAACATGACGGCGGCCTGTAAATAAGCGAGACGATCCAGTGATTGATATCAAGAACAAATACATACTCCGACGGGGTGCGATGGCATGCTAAAAACCAAGTCACAGAGCCTGATCACTTGTCAATTACTGTCTCATTCCACTTGCACAAAGCGATCTTAAATCGATTTAAGACGACTTGAATTAAAGAGCGAAATCTTCAACGATCTACAGACGTCTGTAAAAGCGTATAACTAACTATAGCTGCGTGTACCAACAGCGGAACCTGTTGTGATGCATTCTCCCCTTACGAAAGTGGGCCCCGGTACTTTTCAGTATGCCGGTGTTCACTCAAACAGTGGGCCCTGACGGTCTTTCTCAAAATGCCCGTGTTTACTCAAAAAGTGGGCGCAGGAGGTCTTTCTCAAAATGCCCGTGTTTACTCAAAAAGTGGGCCTTGACGGTTTTTCTCAAAATGCCCGTGTTTACTCAAAAGTGGGCCCCCGTCTTTCTCAATATGCCGGTGTTTACTCAAAAAGTGGGCCACGGTCTTTCTCAAAATGCCGGTGTTTACTCAAAAAGTGGGCCACGGTCTTTCTCAAAATGCCGGTGTTAACTCAAAAGTGGGCCCCGGTCTTTCTCAATATACCGGGGTATACTAAAAAAGTGGGCCCCCGTCTTTCACAATATGCCGGTGTTTACTCAAAAGTGGGCCATTGTCTTTCTCAGTATGCCGATGTTTACTAAAAAAGTGGGCCACAGTCTTTCTCAATATGGTGTTGACTCAAAAACTTCGACATAGTTTCGATTGCCCCAGATACAACAATCCCTCGGAGACCCATCTTCCCTCATCTGTCGTCAGCTAGCGAAACAAATACACGTGGCTGGTATAGCTGGCCACAGGTACACATGTGCTCCCGGAAGGTTTCGTTTTCGCATGTTTCAGGTGGTTTTAATACGTGTACGGAACTCAAGCCAGTCTGTACCTTCTCTCCACCGACTCGGGACTACTGAAGCCGTCTTCCCTCATTCTCCGCCGGTACCGCCTCCTCCACGAGTCCTCTTTACGAGTACGGGCCCGACTGCGGTCGTACACGTAGTCTTCGTAGTCGCTGTAACAAGACGTACGTGACGTAGTGAGTGGAGAAAACTCAGGTAAAGATTAACTTCCATACAAACCCTATACCTCTGTTTCTCGATGTCCTAAATATTATTCAAGACCTTGCTCCAGCATAATTACATCGTCTTTATGTAATAAAGATAATGGCTTATATATAATTATTCCAACCCACACTCCTTCTTGTCAACATTTCCGTCCCCCTTTTTAGCTCACCTGACTAAAGTTAGCGTATATCGGGCGCGTTATCCGTCGTTCATCCCTCTGAGCGGAAGCTTGAATGATCCAAACGAATGAAATGTCACTTAAGCGCATTTCTCGTACATATAAATACGCGATTAGAAGATTTTGAATTTAGACCATTGAGGCTGAAACTTTTCATTAAGAATTTGCATCTACACAGAATTCAGATATATCAGATTTTAAACATAAACGAGACGGTGGCCATACATATATGGGTTTGTTTTAAATGTAATATTTGCACATTACTAATCATTATGGAACTTCATATGCAACATAGCGTTTGATTATTTGTTTTTGTTTTGTTTGTTGTTTAACGCCGCACTCAGCAATATTCCAGCTGGCGGCTGTCTGTAAATAATCGAGTGTAGACCAAACAATCAAGTGATTGACATCATGAGCATCGATCCACGCAATTGGGATACGATGATATGCATCAACCAAGTCAGCGAGCCTGACCACCCGATCCCTTTAGTCGCCTCTTACGACAAGCATATTCACTTTTTACGGCAAGTATGGGTTGCTGAAGACCAACTCTACCCGGATCTTCGCAGCGTGTGGTATTGGTATTTGGTATAACACACGATTTTAGCATGTTTTGATTCATGATCTGTCTGCGTCCGTTCACCTTTGCGTACCCCGTTATTGCGTTTTAGGGGTTTTAGACATCTCTAAAACTAGAAGGCCTGTGAAGCTTAAACTTTGTATGAATGACCGGAGCTGTTGTCTCTAATAAAGCGATCTGCCATTATTTCTTCATAACAGGTGAAGGGGCACGGGTGGCCCAATCGTCTAAGGCGCCGCCATTCGCTGTGCAGAGTTGCGTCCCTTGGGCACGCCAGAAACCTATGATTGTGGGTTCGAATCCCGGTTCGCCCCGATCATGTTTCTATGTTTGTCAGCACCATACCCGTGCTCGTGGGTTTCACCGAAGTGGTAAACGTCTGAGACCTGCATCACTTAGGGCTTTCGTCCCACATTAAGCTGACACGCCGCGATATAACTGGAATACTGTTAAAAGCGGCGTTAAACCCAACTAACTCACTCACTCACTCACTCATAACAGGTGAGGTTCAGGGGCAAATTTATGTTCACTGCGTGTCATGGGAACTCACTCTGTCTCCGCTTTACAAAATCCTGGATTCGCCTTTGAACGTGCTCCCAACATCTTCATATCATTTTACTGAGTTTAGAATGGAGTAGGTGGGAGACCGAAATAACAAATAATTAAATATCCGACCTCCCTTTCCATTTGAAAAAGTAAGCAGTGTGAAACAAGAAATGTATCAGTTAGTATCACGTCGTATCAATAGACGGATTTCCATAGCAGCTTCGCTGGGATTTCCCGGGTTTCCCCGTCCCTCTCTCCAGTCTTTAATGTATATGCGCGAGTAATGTTTTCGTCGTGTATGCGCAAAGAGTATAAAGGGTTCAGATTAGTCTGTCATACAGATTCTGATACAAATATATCCAATACAACCCTTGCAAGTCTGTCATGTTTGGCAAGTCTCGATCATTGCAGTATCAGGAATGAATAGAGTCTCTGGGCTCTTTTTTAAATTTTTTTTATTAAGATAATTTAACAACTGTTTTTTTCTGTAAGATATGTCTATTTCAGAGACTAGATGTTAGTCTAGGGTCAGATGGGAACACTGCAATACTCTACATGTACCCCGTTGGAAACTTTCCACCCGTGAAGATTCCGGGGTAGAATAGGTCTTCAGCAACCCATGCTTGCCGTAAAAGGCGACTATGCTTGTCGTAAAAGGCGACTAACGGGATCGGGTGGTCAGACTCGCTGACTTGGTTGATACATGTCATCGATCCCAATTGCGCGGATCGATGCTCATGATGTCAATCACTGGATTGTCTGGTCCAGACTCGATTATTTACAGACAGCCGTGATATAGCTGGAATATTGCTGAGTGCGGCGTTAAACAACAAACAAACAAACAACGTTGGAAACTTAATCTTATTACGAATAGAGAAATACGTTTATAATATAAAGTCTTTGCTGATTTGGGCTTTGTAAATATTGGGTGAAGAATAATGTGAAGAAAATAACATTGATAACATGTCCTTACTTCCGAGCTAACAATGGGGAGGTTGTAACATTTACTGTTTCGACTCATCCGTTATGATGCATTTTAGAGACAAAAGAACATTATCATTAAATTAAGTGACGTCATTCCGTGCCATAATGCAACTCAACCCCCCAAAACGTAAAAACGTTCGTTCCGTTCTGATTGATGGGAATGTCCCCATAGTTGTGGTTAAACATATATATATTTTTTCAATTTTAAACTTTTTTCTGCAGCTATAATACTGTACCCCACGAATTGTGATGCTAGTATTTACTAACTCACCAGGGCCCACTTGCACAAAGCGATCTTAGCACTACAACTGTTGTAAGCCTATGTTAAAGTATGGGAGTTACGATCATCTTAGCGCTAAGATCGCTTTGTGCAAGTGGGCCCAGGGTGCCGTTGTACAAAACAACCTTAGCGCTACGACTGTCGTAAGTCTATGTTATAGTATGGGTGTTACGATCACCTTAGCGCTAAGATCGCTTTGTACAACGGCACCCTGATCTTTATTGATAAGGGCCCCTAAATAAGCAATTCATATTTCGAACAATTTATTTTGCTATGTTTTGTTTTCCTAAATTACGAAGTTTGGCAGATCATTCGCATACGTATACTTATACAACTTGCATACAAATGTGATGAAATATAGAGTTGACAGTTTTCTTTGAAGGTCCCTGTCTACCTTTGGTGAAGATAACCGGCTTCGTAAACTTTACATTTTAATCTGCTTTGTCCTAAATGTGAAATGAAATCGCCTGATATCAAGACAACACACATTCTGACAAGAAAACTAACGAAGGATAATGCAAATCTACATTACCTTTCATCTGTGGCAAAGGTGCTAACGCTTTCGTGACTGCTTGATGGGGAAGCCATAGTTGTTATGAGGTGTAGTGATGCCGACGCAGTATTGTGACGTCATAACGTTATTACGTAGTTGTATACAATTACGTCACGCTCCTCCCGTCAAACGAAGTTGTTCATGCGCATACGTGTACGGATGGGAGAACGGTTTTCAGACTTGTAATTTGTTATTCATCGCGAATGGAACGTTTTCACTTTTCACATTCTATACTGTGTGGCCTTTATAAGTTCCCTATTTAATATGCAATGTCCATACATTTTTTCTTCGGTATGAGGTTATTTGTAACATATTTACTGTATTCCAGTGTAGAACGTTCACCGGTGTTAAAGTTTGTGTGTGTGTGTCTACGACTATATTGTATCTGATCCTGTTGATGAGCGCTATTGCCATAACAATCTATGTTTACCAGTATCTATGTTTTACCAGTATCTATGTTTTACCAGTATCTATGTTTTACCAGCATCCCTGGTGTGCTTACAACCGAAATATATATAACTAGACTTGTATCATCACTTCTTTGCCAACGAATAACTCAAGGTGTCCTGGGTGCAGTTGTTCAAAGCTATCTTAGCGCTAAGGTGATCGTAACCCCCATACCTTACATAGACTTACGACAGTCGTAGCGCTAAAGTTGTTTTGTACAACGGCAACCTGTTGATGTAAACTGTGCATTTTTTAAAAGAGATTTTACAAAACAATTAAACTAATTATGTTCATTATTTAACCAGTAACGCTTTTCTATATTTTCCTTCATATTGGGAACTAACCTACCTTATATCATCATGAAGCAAGATCACTTCCCGAAGATATAGACCTTGAAATAACTTTAAAACTTTAAGTGAAACAAATAAAAGATTAGTTTTCCGTGTAAGATCTGAAACTGAAATCCGCATAAAATTTAACTGTTTTTGTCCAAAATACTTGTGGAGTCTATTTCAATACCTGTAATTAGAAATAAAATAGCATTTGGTGATTTTACATTATTTACTGGACTCTGCGTGTGTGTGTGTGTGCGTGCGTGCGTGTGTGCGTGCGTGTGTGTAGACCATTCTATTTATTGTACAATAATCATTTAGCTTATACCCTGTCAAATATGATTAGACCTTTTGCTCTCGATAAAAATGTCATATAAAGCGTGGAACTTATCAATCAAGATTTTAACAGTGATTTGACTAAGTTAGAAGGCAGGGCACAGAAAAGCCTAGTAGAGTTCAGTCCTAGAAAAAACCCAAAGTCTATGATATTTAGTCACAGTAACTTAGCCAAATTGCCCTATTTGATTTTCAATAATCAACACTTAGAAAAAGGATGTATACACACGAACATCTTGCATATTGTCCCATCATGTTAAGTGGACAAGTCGTGTACTTGGTATGACACAATTCATATCTAAAGTGGCATCTTCCATGGGAACACAAGAAATGCCTTGTTGAACCTGTACCAAATGTATAAAGGTCCTATTCTAGAATACGCATCTGAAGTTTGAGATGGTTGCTCGGTAGAATCTTCCAAACTTTGCTATTAAAGCTGGTTTATATTATGACACAGGGTGGTTACCTTAAGTTAAATATTCCAGCTGTATGGCGGCCATCCGATCCCCATTTTAGGCGAACCCTGCGACTATAGCTGTGGTTAATGGGCAACAAGATGGGTTTTTTTCTAAAAGAAATTGATAAAAACCCTGTTTTACTGATTTTTGGGGGCATATGCTTCGTAGGCATATATGCATATGTAGGAAAAAAGATATTGTGCCCTCTTCTTGCAGACAAGTATCCGGAGAATACTGTTCGTTATTTTTATTTATATAATTAAAAAAAAAATATTGAGCACGTGTTAATTTAAAAAAAAACATAAATGAGATCCTACGCATGTTTAAAAACGTACCGAGGGATTGGAAATCGGAGGTGACTGGCTGATTAGAACGTTCACCTGAAGCGATCTCCTATGCAGGCGTCCTCGGATCTTCACACGGAGTTAGTCCCGTGAAGAGCCGGGGTAGAATAGGTCTTCAGCAACCCCTGCTTGCCGTATTAGGCGCAAGCTTGTCGTAAGAGGCGACTAACGGGATCGGGCGGTCGATGCATGTCATCGAATCCCAAAGACTCGCTGACTTGGTTGATGCATGTCATCGATCACAATTGCGTGGATCGATGCTCATGATATCAATCCCTGGATTGTCTGGTCCAGACTCGATTATTTACAGACAGCCGTCATATAGCTGCAATATTGCTGAGTGCGGCGTTAAACAACAAACCAACAAACCAACCAATTGCGTGGATCGATGCTCATGATATCAATCACTGGATTGTCTGGTCCAGATTGCCGTTATATAGCTGAAATATTGCTGAGTTAATCAACAAACAAACACAGAAATCACACAGAGTTGTATCGAATAATGATCAGATTGAAAGTACACCCTGCTATGCAGTCAGAGCAAAAACATACACCATGATCACAGCTGCAAAAATCTGAATGGCCTTTCTTGACAGAATTCATTTCAATTCAATGCCATGAGAAAAGAATCATTTGAAATGTCGATCACGACAGTTTGAAAAGCCCGTTCGTCCAACAGCTTTCTATGAAACAAGGAAATGACCTACATACTAAAGGCCTCTGTGATTCACAACGTCTTGACTGGTAGCTTTGTCAACTAAACACCGGAAATATTTAATAGAAATACACTCACAATATTCTTCATCATATATACAGCCATTGCCGACGTGCTGAGAGACGGTATGCTCGCTATGGGGCGCCCTTCGTTGAGAATGCCAGGTATCTTTACACTCTTTGACACTCGTGATATTTATTTATCAAGAAATATTTTAGCAAAGACACAGGAACCTGGGATCTTAACCCCATTTCACCTTACCTCACCTTACAAATATTTTTTAAGTCAACAGAATCAGTAATTAATGGCGCTTGAAGTGATACGGCGCCATTAATTACTGATTCTGTTGACATTCTAAAGATATAACAGCGCTGTGCATTTTTACTGAGGTTTACGTCGCGTTCAAGATTAATGCACTAATGAATGTGTGTGTGTGTGTGTGTGCCCGTGTGTGTGCGCGTGCTTGTGCGTGTGCGTGTGGGTGCGTGATTGTGTGGCTGCTTGTACTTGTCCGGAATTTTGCTGTGCCGCACAGCTTAACATGCATACCCTACTCAGACTCCAAGCCGGTGAGTCCTTATTTTATTACCTCAATGCCGAACGCCAGGCAGGGTAACAACAAATACCATCTTTTATTACCTTTTGGTATGACGCGACCAGGGATCGAACCACAGACCTTCCGCTCTCCATGCAGACGCTCTGTCCACTAGACCACGGGAGCGGGTTACTGCCCTAAAGTTTTCGTTCGTCGTCTTTATTGCAATAAATTTATTGTGAGTGTATAGTGAAAAAAATATGTAGTGTAAAATAATGTATTCTGAATTTGAAAAATGAATAAATTTATAAGCATGTGGATTAATATCGACGGCGAAAATAGCAATATAGAAACAATAACATAAATAAACATAATAATCATGATGATATGAATACCGGAAGTATGAATGACACAGTCACTGATCTTATTCCTGCTAAAAAAAAGTACGAGTTTCCGTGCATGGGCTGGTGTAATCGCATATAGGATCATCTGACGGGTTGAACACTCCTACCAACTTTTATAACACTGAAGGATTACTCGGCAGTCGACACCAACGGTGGCGACATGGCCAGCATGGACTCCGAGACGATTGCCAAGGATTTCGATAATGCCCTGGCTTTCTTGAACAAACTTAGTGGGTGAGTTGTTTCCTTGTCTTAGAAACTGTGGTTGATTTAGTTGAGATACAATGATATTTATTTATGATGATAGGACGGGTGCAGAATGTGATGACGTCACACTCGTGTGGTATCGGGTTACTCCGTGCATTGGTTAGGAGTTTGGGATGGTCTGTGTCGTCCCTACAAGACTGTCGCCTTTGTTGATACACTATATATAGTTCCTTTAGACTGGGGAAACCCCAGGTATTATTGCTGACAATAACGCCTCTGTTCTGGCTCATGTGTTTTATTGACGGGAATAACTGGAGCGCATGTATTACGTTTCACAGCCTGACTGCAACATGGGAACACGGCAATCTCATTAAAATCATATCTTAGTTCTTGCTGTCGCAAAACAAATTTCAGATCTGATTTAATGAGATTTGGGAACACAGTTTTGTTTTGTTTTGTTTAAGTCACGCATAGATTTTGACTCAGTCCCTTACCATGAATGACTTCGTTCGGGTATGTGTTAGTCATATAGGAAGTACGTCGTTATTTTTTTTCAGAACAATCGCGGCTATTGAAGAATGAATTTCAGGCTCTCGCTCTGATTTTCGCTGCACTGTTTAGTATTAGGGGTTCCATGTGTGACTACCGGGGCGGTTCGGATTTTACGAGATAAATGGGTTGTATACCTGAAAAAATTCAGTTACAAATGACCGCCATTCGACTCGGTAACTGAAACTGTGAGCAGGGTCAATTATGGGGGTGGAATAGAGGGTGAGCCAAAAGATTATTTTTTTCGAACCCCCACCCCACTACCTTACACACACACACACACACACACACACACACACACACACACACACACACACACACACACACACACACACACACACACACACACACACAAAACTTTCGAGGTACTTATCGGGTGGGAATCATCGGGATGGTTCGAGTTTTGGTCGGCATCGCTAAGAGGTTGGAGGAAAGTACCTCGATCTGAGGACATCCCATGAGGGGTCAATCAGAGCGTCGCTTACCAGATCATGAAAGTGACAGTCGGAATGTGATTTCTAATCATGCAACCTCGAAAACTTTAAACACGGGGTATTCCGAACGATAGTTACGGGCTTAACGACTGAATCCATACAATCTAGACCATCAATTAGCCATTCCAGAATGTTCTTTTGTTCAGGTTCAAATTTTTAATCGAGAATTTGCCAAAATATGTTTCGAAGCGTAGTCGCCAATTTGAAATTAGTGCCGAGGAAGCTGCCTTCTAATTGGCTA